TTTTCAATAGAAAAAAGTATATTAAAACTTGAGAAGATCTCTCCATGCAAACGAAAAAACTCACGAAAAGCATCCAGTTCCTTTTCAGGATCAGGAATTCCCGACGATGGACCGCATTCAGTTCGGAGCTCACACATAAGGTCTCGCAATTCATCGAAGGAAGGTGTTCTTAAGCATTTTTGATAAGAGATCGTGAAGTTTTGATGAAGTGGAAACTCACACAACTTTCTCTTTGTTGGCAATCTTCTTATTCATTAAGTCCGTGATTCTCTTGTTCAGAAGCTCGTTACCAGTATCTGCAACCGTTATAGACGGAGCATGAGCGGCGTCATGGCTGAATCAGGACAAGAATGTATGACATCTTGGAAATATGCACAAGTCAAAACATTTCGAAAAATTGAAAATACTGACAGTGCCCGGACTTCCTCGTCAACATCTAACAATGCTCCATGTTTTAGCAAGGTCCTTTCCACATCCACAAGAGTTTTCTTCAACTAAAAAACATTCATTAAAATTCTATTGCATGTTCAAATGCAATGATTTACGCAGATAGTCACTCTCATGACTTCAGTCGATCAGAAACCACAAGGAAACACCCACCTTTCGTTCAAGACTGATATAAAACAGCTCTTTAGCCTCATCATCGAAACAAACTTCTCGCACTTCCAATTTTCGTAGCCGTTTCAGTAACTTCTAGAATTCAATTTGACGTATGAACATAAGACTATGTGGTATGCCACATACCTGTCGCATTTTAATCAAACTATGAAGTTTCGGTACTGAGAGGCATTTAGACGACGTTGTGGGCTGGTCAACCGCGATCTTTGCAGTCTTTTCACCATGTTCGGAGTGATCGCTCAATACTTCTACTACATCATCCAGTACTACTACTGTGTCTTCATCGCCTGAATGCATGTAATCAATATGTTTCGGAACAACTGCACTTGGATGGTGCAAAAATTCTGAGTGCTTTCATACCTGCCGCAGAAAGTGCAGAATTCACACCAGCGGGAGAGCTGCTGGCATAATCACCGCTTCCATCAGGTTCCATATCCTGCAAACAATCAGTGGCTGGCATTCGATAAAGCAGAAAAAGGCAGATATGACTTGCAAAGGGCGGAAGTAAACGGTAACAATGTTACCGAAATAAGTTAAGCCACTTGTGATTCAGCACGTCATAACTTTCACGATCTCGTGAAAAGGCAAGGAAGTGCAAACGATAAGATTACAAGGAAAAGCTCTACAGCTTTTTTACTGATTTTGCAGACTTAAGACAATAAGTTTTACCCGCAACCCCCATAACCTTCTGCTTCTCCTTAAT